TACATACATACATAATTATTGTATCTTTTCTTCCTCCTCCCCTCCTCACTTTTCTTTCCCTTTTTGGAAAAGGGACCCAGATTGTTGGGGGCAAGAGGCTGACTCTCTAAACCGCTTAGAGAGGGCTGTAAAGCACTGTGAAGTGGTATATAAGTCTAAGTGCTATTGCTATTTTCCTTCCCATCGTGTCCTATTATTTGCTTTTATATTTTTGTATTTTACCATATTAAAAAATGTTTAAAATTGGGGGGGGGGGTTTAAAACTACATTTGGCTGCTTGAAAGCAGAAATAGTCGGTTGCTGCCGGTGGCCACTATTATTAGTTTTTCTAATGAACGGTTTATAATTCATGAGCCTGTTCAATGAGATAAAATATGGTGTCTATATATACAAATCTTCACACTGTGGTTTACCACCACCGCCTATATATGTTCTAACTTGCCTTAGCAATCATGGGCTTGTTTTACAATTTTTCAGGAAACTGAGCAGGTTAATGATTTGATTTTTTTTAAAAGGGATTTGCATCTGAAAACCAACAGCACCCCCTGCTGGCATCTCAAAATTATTTGAAATGAATTTGCAAAACTTGACAGATTTCAGCTTTTATAGGCAAATCCCCTTCTGCAAGAGACAAACAGCTTCATAAATAGCACAGTTGAGCTTTTTATAGCCATCAAGATATAAAGCCTAAGTTTGCAATGAACTGAACATTGCAAACTTAGAAACAAGTTTGCAAAACAAGAAAAAATTCAACTACCCAACAATAATGGGTAGTCCTCGACATACGGCCACAACTGAACCCGGAATTTCCATTCCTGAGCGAGGCAGCTGTTTAGTGAGATTTGCCCCATTTTACAACCTTTCTTGCCACCGTTGTTAAACGAATCGCGGCAATTGTTTAGCTAAGTCGCACAGTTGTTAAGGGAATCCAGCTCCCCCCTTGATTTGGGGGATCCAAAGGTGCAGTGACCCCGGGTCACTGCAACAGTCATAAATATGAAGAAGTTGCCAAGCTTTGATCACGTGACCA